AGGGGACCCCACCAAGAGATAGTGAGAGACACCCCCTGCAGACAAAAGAGATGCTCTGATATTTATACATTTCAGGAAAGGGGAAGGGAAAAGGATGCATATATACATATTCATATGATGATGCAGGCATACATAAGTAATAGATCGCAAGTTACTTTCTGCCCCTCTGTTATCTACTACCTACAAGAAAAACAACAGCCTTACTGAGAAGAAGAAATAAATCAGTTCAAGGTGCCAAATGGCAGGAAGAACACATCCTCCTTCAAGACAGATACCTTAGTAGTTCACACCAGCTCCACGGGTGCTGCACGTTCTTTTATGTTTCAGTTTTATTAAGGAGCTCCCATTCATCTGAAGCCTTAAAAGAAATTTACCTTTTTCACCCAAAAAATGTATTTTCCCCATATACTGTTATACACATGTTGCAAGTCATTTAAGTGCCCTTTTCTGTACCATTTCTGTTTTTACAGTGCTCTTGCAATGGAATACACTTTCTGAAACATACTGGGCCCAAATAAAAACTTCCTTAGTGGCACTTTAGATCCTTCTCTATTTTGTTTAGGGCAGCAGAACAAATTCTTTGAAGACCTAAAATGGCTCATTTTAATCACTATAAGAAAATTAGCAAGCCGTTCAACAGGATTTAGAAACAGAGCCAAGGTTACCTTCGCTGGATTTCTTCTCGGGCCAGGTCCTGTTTCAGAATATATTCTTCACGGAAGACTTGGGTGGCTCTACTTAGAAGCTGAAGGCATTCTTCTGGGGGAGGGGAAGACTCTTTATCTGCAGCCCTTTAAAAAAAACAACAAGCAAATGTGGAACATCCAAGGTTAGAAAAGGATGCGTTTACATGACAAACATGTAAATGAGATGCCTTCTTCTTTGCAACTACAATCTGAACATAAGGTTCAATTTAAACAAAACCCATTCTTATGATAAAGTACTAGGATGACTACATGAAGAAGACATAGGGTGTCACTTCTCAAAAAGTGCCTTAACTGAAATAAGATTTGATAATTCATTTATATTTCTAGAGCATCCCATCTAAAGGGCTCAAAGAGGGCAAAGAATGTTGAAATCAACATTTGATAAAGCTCCCAAATCAATTCCCCCATCCCTTAGTCAGCCAGAAGACACTATGAGCCTAATAATTCAGTTGGAACCAGCAGAACGGCTTGTACGCTCTGAATCTCCACCAGGCTTGCATGAAAGAAGAATAAGGGATTTAGGGCGATAGCAGAAAAGGTGCAAGAACAGCCAAATACAGAATGAGAGACTTTCAGCCAGAAGAGAAAAGTCTAATCATGAGACCAGTGATAAGAATGAGCTTTGGTGGTCCATCCCAAACAAGATGCAGCGCTCATGCTGACTCCAGCACTTAACAGCCAAAACAAAGAAAGCAATAACACACAAGCTCTCCCAAGACCTATGTGGAAAGGGTCTGTCTTCGTACATGGGTGGGGAAAGGCAGCAAAGTAACAAAAACATTTATATGAAATTAGAGTTCCACAAAGAGAAAGATTTTATACTTCAGCAACAATGGATTTGCAGAGGTGCGAGACAAGATGTTTCGGATATGTGTCTCAAAGGAGTCCTGTGATTCAGCTAGGATGCGGAGAGGCGAGGTAAACGTCTGAGGATCTTCCGTGGTGCACAGAAGTGGAGGGCATGTTGGGTGGACTGTGGAACTGTCAAAACAAATGTCAGGCATCTATTAATATCAACAATTCTCCTCCGCCCTTCTTTTCACTAGGTTCCTTGAACATTTATAACCTTGCTACTGGTTGTCAAAAAATCATGGCTTGCATTGCCATTGGAGAGTTCTATCCAACTCTTGTGCAGAAAAATTGGGGAAGAGAGAGGCTTATTCAATTTTATATCTTGCTGCTAATTCTTCTAGCAAGAACCCCCTAGGGAGAGAAGGGGACAATCTTTCCTTCTTTTCCATGAAGACAAAATAAAGAAATCAAGGATTTTTTTTTCTCCTTATAGGTATGCTTGCAGAAAGTATTGCAGGGTCTACAAAATTGCAATGGAAGGACAATTCACCACTTTCTCCCCATCCCACAAACTCTCTATTAAAAAATTCTTACATTTATTTTTCTTCCAGATATGGTTTCCTGGAAAATCCTAGCAAGGCAAATACTTAAGCCTAGTTTTTAGGACATAAGGTTCCTTTCTATTTAACTAGGAGACAGAATCAGTCTGGAAACTGGGAAAAAGACATTTCTTTTCTAGTTCTATTCTTGTAGGAAGCACCAGAGATGCCTCATTACTACTTTTTGAACAGTCTACAAAGTTTTTAAGCTTTTGGTTATAGGCCATGTAATTTGCAGATCCTTATTAACAGTAGAGTGAAATACTGAACTTCATAGATATATTAAACAAAAGCCAAGTGTATAAAGGTTGTCTCAAGAAGTACTAGAAGAATTCAAATTCAGTGAAGGCTGGCGGCAGCAAGCATATCCTGAAGGAGTTAGCCAGACAACACAATTTCTAGTAGATATACTGTGTCAGGGGAAAAACCACGTTAAACACGGGAGGCAGACACACCATAAAACAAGTCACTTC